TGACAGTGTATTTTGCAGAAGTTTTTAATTTTAATGAAGTCCAGCTTTATCAATTATTTCTTTTGTGGATTGTGCTTTTGGTGTTATATCTAAAAAATCAAAGCCATTCCCAAGGTCATATAGGTTTTGTCCTATGTTATCTTCTAGGAATTTTATAGTTTTGTGTTTTACCTTTAAGTCTGTAATCCATTTTGAGTTAATTTTTGGAGAGGGTGTAAGGTCTGCATCTAGATCCTTTTTTTTTTTTTTTTCGCATTCTGTGTTTATTTGTTCCAGCACCATTTGTTGAACCTAGCATTTTTTTCTGAAGGTGAAAATATTAGATCCATACTTAACCTTTATTCAATTTTAAAATAAAAGCATTACTTCAGCAAAATTAAGTAAAATAACAGGGACTGATAATAATATCTATGCTATTAGACTGTATATAAATATGTTGTAAACTATAAGTACTATGCATATATTGCTGCTACTATTGTTTTTAGTATCACTCAGCTCCTGCTCTCAGGTAGCCCCCAGCCTAGTAGCAGTAGTATATTTATGCTCAGGCTTTTTTTTTCGAGTGAAAGGCAAAATGGTGTGGCTAGAAAGAACCCCAAAACGGAAGCCAAAAACTCTGGGGTAGAGTACTACATCTGCCTCTTAACTGTATGACCTGGGCCAAGTCACTTGATCTCTGTGAGCCTCAGGAGAGCAGCCTGTGAAATGAAGGCATTGGACTTTTGGCATTTAAGGAACCTTCTCACCCTAACATTCTAGGACTCTATTTGGTATGGCCTAGGATGAGATTCTGTCACAATGATTCACACTTTTCTCAGCATCAATGTTAGATTTTTTTAAAAAAAGGAATTGAAGCCCAAGGAAGTAATAGAAATAAGATGTATATGAAAGTTCAAACTGCTGAGAAAATTGATCTCAGAAAGAATAGCTCTATTTGCCCCATTTTTGATAACATAAACAAGTTTCACAAAACCAAACTGCTAAGCTATTAATTTAATAAGAAAATACATCATTCAGGTTCCCTAAATATAATGAATAAAATGTCAAGGTGATTGACCTTCCTTTTCTAACATAGACAGAGTCTCTTATCTGAGAATGCTCCTCCTCTCCCAAGGAGTCCCAAAGGGTGGGTTTCTCTGTTGATTTAGAGAGTCAATAATTCAGTAAAGTCCCAGGTAAATGGCAGAACACAAGCTGAGATTGGGTTTTTGTATTCGTATTTTATAAACATTTCAGGATTCTTTTTTTCCTGACCCTTGATCTTTTGCCATTCTTAAAATGAAGATCTTATATCTTAGAATCTTGGTTAGAGACAACCTCAGGGTCATCTCTTCCAACTTTTTTCTCTGAGTGGATCTACTCTTAGCCATGCCTCTGGCTGAATATTCTAGCAGTTCAACATACAGATTCCAAAACTAGATTCACATCCTCGCTCTGTCCTGAATAGCTTTGAGACCTTAGACGAGTTACTTAATGTGTTCCATGGATCAGTTTTCTCATCTGTAAAATGGGAGTAATAATTGTATCTACCTCAGAAGGTTATTATGCAGATTAAATTATTTTATAAACATAAAGTGCTTGGCGTATGCCCGGTACAAAATAAATGCCAAATATATGTTAGCCATTACTGTTATCATCATGATCTTCTCAAATATGCCCTTATTTGAATGCTTCTAGGGACAAGAGAGAATACGCTCACTGTCCCCACCCATCCCTCCTTCTCCATTGCCACAAGGCAGCCCACCGACATGTTAGCCAGAAGCAATTCTGTTCAGCACGAGCTCTGGAGTCAGACTTGAGTGTGAAATCTTATTCTGTCTGCACCTTGATATGATAACCCATGGTATCTTCAACTGTAAAATGGCAGTAATCATACCTACTTCATTTGGCTTTTTTGAGGACTAGACTACTATATATAAAGTACTTAGTATGGTTCCAGCTACATGGTATGTACTCAATAAATGATAGTTGCTGCTATGATTATGGTTAGGAAGAACAAGAAGGAAACAGAACAGAAGGAGGAAGAAGAAAGTAGCACAGTGGCATACCAGCAGCTTTAAGAGTTCTTTCTAGCCAGCTGAATTCTGTGTCTCTGTGATTTTACCTCACTAGTCCCAGCCCTGCCAGCTGGTACTGCACGTAATATGTCTGATCTACTTGGCAGTCCTTCAGATACCCCTTTCCCTGTAGTGGCAGCCACCACCACCACTTCTCAGTTCCCCCTTGAATGGGACCCAGAGCACTGCAGGATGATTCCACAGCATGGCCACCTTTCTTGCAGGGGAGAACTTCATCCCCCTAGTTTTCCCTACAGCCTTTTTGTCCATGCCAGGCAAAAAAGAATGGAAGCGGAGATTGTTCTTGTTCATTTTGAAATTTCTGTCTAAAACGACCTCCAAAGAATTGCTTCTGATCTGGGGTACCAAAAGGAACAGGCCCCAAACAACCATGTTTGCTGTGAAGTAGTTGAGCACAGCCTCATGGAAACCCAAGGGCGTCTGTAGTTACTGAGGCATTACCCTAGCAGGGCAGCAGGACAGAAATAAGAAAGGCAGCCTGGTGCAGGCCTGTGCTCCAGGAGGCTTCGGGAAAAGAGCTCCAGCTTTGAAGTGAGCCCAGGACTCCTCTCCAAGGCAACATTCCAGTCAGTAATGGCTACCACTGACTGAGCATGTTCTGGCTTGGGCACTGTACCAGAAGCTTTATCAATACTCCGTTTAACTGTCACACTAACCTATGAAGGTTAAACTGATATATTCTTATCATAGAGATGAAAAAACCTATGTTTTCTGGTTGTAGAACTTCAAGGTCTATAGGTACTAAAGTGAAAACAGGGATTTGAATTTAAGTTTGCTTCAGTCTTTTTAAACATTATACTGTATAGATATCCCCCTTACTAACCACGTGGCCTTAAAACAAATGTCAGCCACTTTGAGCCTCAATTTTGCCATCTCTACCTGCCTTGCATGGTTGTTACAGGAATTAAATGAAATAACATGAAGTCCCTGGCATGTAATAGGTGTTCAAGAAACTTCAGTTTCCTCCTTTTCACGTCCCAGCTATCTCACCCAAAGTGACAGAGAAAAATCACTTAACTTGCCTGGGACACAGTTTTCTGAACCTCTAACCTGGTGTGTTGACAGCTTAGGCAGGGTTCGGTTTGGGCCTGAGGCTCCAGTCTCCCAGCCTGTTTTTCTCTATAGCATTTCTGCTGGTATGCATATGCTCTGGCACTACAGTGATCATGGTTTCTCTCTACAAACATCATATTTACAAACCACAAATAACAAAGTACAAGATGCCGGAAGAGCTCTGGCATGTTAATTAAGAACAATAGCGGAAGCAGCTGAGCAGAAAATACCAATGAGTATGAAGCAGAGGCTCGGTTGACAAGAGACAGCGTAATATTGTATGTTAATTGGGGAAGTGGATAAACATTTGCCAGCAGCTTGCCCCTCTGGTGCATTGGAAGACAGACAGCAGGCTAGGCCTTCCCCACTGCCTTGCCTGCCCATCTGCCCAGAACCCGAGAGATACCAGTAGAGCTGCTTTGCTCTGGGTTCCTTAAAAGCAGAGAGGATTCTTGAGGTTGATGTGTCTCCTTAATGACCCTCCTGGGCATACCAGGTTTCCATCTGGATACAGTCAAAGATAGTGTTCCTCCTTCAGCTCTCCAGCCTGGTTGTGACACTAGGCCTCCCAGGGCCCTCATCCCCCTTGACTAGGAGAAGACAGCGGAGCTGTCTCATTAGGTGTGGTTTGGGTTGAGCAGAGGACAAGATCTCCAGCCTCAGATGCTGTATTCTCTGAGGACCACAGGCCCAGGGCCTCTATATCTCACATAGCGGACTTCTCAGACTCCCATTACATACACTCAGACCTGTCCATTTATCTGTATGTCTGTCCATCCTTAGTTATTCACATACATGGTAGCCATCATTAAACATGTGCTCTGTGCTGAACACTGTGCTAATTATGTATTTTTTCTCATTTAATCCTCAACATCAGTCCTGCATGGTTGATATTAACTCCAAAGCCACAAAGCTGATAGCCAGCACAGCTGTGATTTAAACAGGAATCTTTCCGGTTCCAAAGCTCACTGTCACTTCCACTAAACTAGTATTTCTCAACTTTTTAAAATTCATACTCCCTTCTGATAAATATGAAAACTCTGTTTCTTTCTCTCTTTCACTCTCAGATTCATAAATCCTCCATCCCTGCCCCTGGCCTAGGAGGTCATAAAGCTACTTTAGGATTCCTACATGACTAGCATTTCCCAGCTGAGCCAAGATTTTGCCTAGCTTTACTCTCTACAAAGAGTTCATATGATTAAATAATGATGTTTTTATTTCCAAAATTTAAAGTCTTATTATGGCATTGACTCATTTTTTCAAACTAAATATCCCCCCACCCAACCAAGAAGGAGACTGTGATACACCTTCCCAGGGACACTCTCCTCAGTGGAGGGTATCCGTCTTTGGGCATGGTAGAGTAGACATTGTCCAGTTTACTATGGGAAAGCTTAGCCAGAAGATCAGCCCCAAAGACTTAGTTCTTTTCTGACCAAGCAGAAAAGTCCTCCATGCTTTCAGGAGTTAACCAAGCAGAGATCCCCAAGAATGCTAATCAGTTGTTTAGCCAGTACCCTTTCCTAAAGTGCACCTGTTCTGTGGGCCAAGCTGTGCTGTGCAGGAGGCACAGACCTCCCACCTGCCAGGAAGAGGTCCAGTCTCCTGAAGCTGCGCCTGCCTATGGTCACATGCTAGTTCTTCCACTAAGCTATGAGACATGACCTCTCTGAGCTCTGGTTTCCTGGGTTCTAAGATGGAAGTAGCACCACCTATGTCACAGGTTTATTGTGAGCATCAAATAATAAATTTGGAAATGCTCAGGCCACTGCATAGCAGGCTGAGAATCAGTATGTACAGGTAGGACCTGAAAGCCATGTGGAGAAGAGAGTGCTTGTTCCAATCTTTTAAATATGTTTTCTTTCTTTTTAGGTAACCCAGCTCGACCCAAATAAATCGTTATTGGAGGTAAAGTTGTTCCCTCAAGAAACCCTTTTCCTTGAAGCAAAAGAGTAAACGTGGCCCAGCAGTGGAACCAGCCATTCCTTGACAAGTCAGAGGCCGGCGTCAAGAGAAGGGCTCCTTGCCAACCCACCTACACGCTCGTCTCACTCAACTCAATGTCACACTTCTGCCTCTTGCAAGATTGCTGGAAAAAAGTAATAATAAACATAGCTACTTAAAATTTCCCATCCACGAGTATATGTTCCCAACCCTCATAGAGAATTACAACTCTGCAGCTCTCCTTTATCCCCTCCACCTCACCCTTGTTCAATGACTAATGCACTGTTCAAGTGTGAGTGTCCACGAAGTAGAATTTTTACCTCTCCAGTGCCCTTCGTTTCCCCACACTGTCTAGGACAGTTCTGTCTGCCCTGTGACACCAGGATGCTATGTATTTGATATGTCTCATTGAGCCAGGGCTCATGCACCTCTGCCTTTTTATTTTCATGACTGGATTTCTACTTTGTCACCTAATTTTAAAAGGCATGGGGGAAAAAGTCAAATGGGACTTCTCAGCATGGAGATTAAACATTGTTGTAGGAAAAAAAAGCATATCATTTTTGTTGGTACTTTATCTGACTTCTTTACTAAAATTTAAGGTTGTGTTTGAGGACTGCATTTGACATATATGCAAGATATTTATTTATTGCAGCTGCCTTGGGTCTCCAGGTTCCACCTAGGAGTTATCTGCTGTTCCAGTGAACCATGGAAAATTGTTGAAGCACATTATATGAATGCTGAGATAGTGTGAAAAGGACCAGTACCAGGACTTTGGTAACTGGTCCAGCTGCAAGAAGCTGCTGTTAGGTTTACATTTGGGTAGTTAGAACCTCATGGATACCAGCTCCCAGATTGCTGGTTCACCAGCATACACCGAACATAATTCTCTCCTGCTTTTCTCTCCCTCTGCTCCATCTTGTGTTGGGACCTTGTTACTTGGTATTTTAAGTACCTGGTCTATCACCAAAATCTGATCAGCCAGCCCATGGACTCTGAGCCCTGCTGTTAAACCTTACCCACTGTTTCATTCTTTTAACATTTCAGTATTAGATACTAGATTCCCATTTCAAATGAAAGAGATCTCACCCTATGGATGAAAATTCTGTCTTCTTATATTTAAGAGAACAGACTTGGGGGCTCAGCTCAGAAGATACATGTTTCCTGAAGATACATGTAATAATTTGGGAATGATTTAGTAAATGTGGATTTTTGTTAATCTGTGGATCCAGGGTTTGAAGTTTAGTTCATGGAAGTACTGTTATGCCTTCACAGCCAATGATTTCTTTTTAGTCCTGGAATGTTTCTCCATATCTGTTTTTATGTTTACTGTAGTCTCTCTCCCAGGGTTTGGGATTCTGATTTTGACATTTTGTATTTGTCCAAAGTACAGTCTAAGTGCTGGGTTTTTCCCCTGGCCCAGTTCAAGGGGTTCTCACAAGACACTGACTGAAGCCTAAGATGTGGCTGGTCATTTTCCCTCTGCCTGGAAGTGCATGTTCGCCAGGAAAATTCTTCTTGTGTCTTTTCTCTGGTGCTCCAACCAGGGACCTTCCTGAACACTCTCTCATAAGAGATGTGTTCCTAAAAGATAGTGATACATCTCCTTAGGGTCAGGCCTCCTCCGGCTCCAGAGTCTCCCAAGGAGGCTGAAAGGAAAAGAGACCAAATATGAGGGAGTTCAACCTGTGCACTTCCTCTCCAGCTCCACTCCTACCCTCCTTTTTTTTTTTTTTTTTTTGCGGGGTGGGGGTGGGTGGGTGGTCTACACCTACCTTTCTAACCTGGTGGCACCAAAGACAGTCATTTCCAATGCTACAGACGCCCTAGGGTACCAACTCTTCTCTTTCCAGGTAGACCTTAGCTTCCATGCAGAAGCTATAACTCTAAACCCAGGCCATACTCAGGAACAGCAGCAAGAGTGTTGGTAGGAGTTGGAGAGACGGGATTCTGAATTTACTTTCATGGTTAACCTGTTCCATCTGATTTGGGTTTGACTTCATCATATTGTTCTGCCCTGTCAGCTTCACTTCTGTATCCCAGTGATATAAACTTTACTCTGAAACTGATTTCTTAAAACTTATTAAATGCTTCTTGAATGTGTATGAAGTTTACACACCCTTTTTCAACCCTGTCTTGAGAGATTCTCCTAGTTCAGTCTCATGAAATCCCATCCTGTAGGTCCCCATTGCCAGGAAAGGCCTCAGCTAATTGTCATTGTTTACTGATGTCATTCTGATCTACTGAGTTCCAGAACCAGGGGCCAAAACAGTTTTGGGCTTTTTCTTACAAGCACATTAAAGTGACTTTGCATAAAGTTAAGTTCCAAGAAAAACGTCAAGTAACTTAACTATCACAAGAGGAGAAGTTATTGAGTAACTTTTGCTATCGCAGAAATAGCAATGTCCTTTGGCAGTTCTTCCTCCTGCCCTTAAACTTTCTTGGTCTTTACATCCCAGCTGCCAGATGGAGTTCTGAGTCAATCAGAACATGGGCTCAGTGTTCTTATGCCCAGTGTTTACAGTGAAGTTCTAGGACTCCTTGTCATCCTCACTTCCATTCCAGTTCATTCCTCTTTGTTTCTTGGATTATCAGTTGTATGTTTGGAGCATTAGTTTGAAGTTTAAGGAAGTACTGACAGTTTCCTACAGATCCTAAGAAGGTGTGGTTTGGGGAGGTTTCTGATTTGCAATGTTGCCATGCTTTGTCACCACTAGTTTTATGGGACACACAGGTGTTCATCTCTGAATTGTAAGCATGCAAAGTCTGAATGGAATGAGGACATCTTTTATGGAATCTTTTTTTTTTTTTAATGTAGAACAATAGGATTTAGGTTTTATGTGGTGACAATAGAAATATAAAGTAAGTTTGCAGTTGCATTAAAATTGCTTCTCCCAAAGCTACACATACTGACCTGAGTACACTGGTCAAAGACCTGGGTTTTAAAGATGTTGCAGAGCTCTGACGGATTTCCTCAAATGCACAGAAGTTGTTCATTTGGATAGGGGAGAAGGTCTTCATTGTCTCCATGAGCAGCATCACTGATGGACACACTTCCACCATCCCTCCCAGCTCCTCATCCATCCAGTCCCGGATTCCACAGGTGGGTGGGACATGGAATCCTAAATTCAGTTCAGGAGTAATCACATAAACATCACACTTCACAATCTATGTGACCCTTTCACCTGCATTATCTCATTGGATCTTTTTAAAAAAATTCTTGGGGGCGCCTGGGTGGCTCAGTTGGTTAGGCGACTGCCTTCGGCTCAGGTCATGATCCTGGAGTCTCAGGATCGAGTCCCACATTGGGCTCCCAGCTCCATGGGGTGTCTGCTTCTCCCTCTGACCTTCTCCTTTCTCATGCTCTTTCACTCTCTCTCTCTCAAATAAATAAATAAAATCTTTAAAAAAAAATTCTTGGAAGGAGATCAATCTCTCTCTCTCTCTCTCCTTTCTTTCTCATTTCCCTCCCCTTCTTCTTTTTTTCTCTCTCTAGTTTCTCTTTCTTCTCTCTCTCTCTCTCATATACACACACTAGAGACTTTAGTGTCTTCCAGTTTGAACTTTGGTTCTGCCACTTCACAGCTGTGTGACTTTAAGTGAGTAATGTCTCTGAATTTCAGTGTCCTGATAACATTCAGGTAGCGTTTTGCAGTTTCCCATATCTTCTACATTCATCATCACAGCCCACCGCAGTGAGGGAAGCAGGGCAGAGATGATCATTCCATTTTTGCACATGGGGCTCAAAGGGCAGTGCTTGCCTAAAGTCACACAATGTCAGTACAAGAGTCTGGACTCAAGCCCTAGGCTCACAGCCCTTCTATAAAAAATCTCTAAATTTCATGTCCAAGAATGGATCTTGGCATCTCCCACAGTTGTATATAAAAATTAAATTTAATCTTTTGGAAGGGGAAATCTTTATCAGATTCTCAGTGGGCAGTATTAATGCCAGAAAATTTGGAACCACCATTTACATCATGCAAACACCATCAGACTATTTGGGAAGTTGAATCTGTCCATTCTTTTCGTCAAGCCACATTTTTATGTAAAAGAAAGCTGCAACCCCCAAGGGGCGGTAAGGAGAGATACCACAGTTGGGCTTTCTTACCTTGGACCTCCCGTTGCATTTAGTGCTTCTCTCTCATCTCAAATAATCTGCTTTGGATGACCCCTAACAACGCCTCTGGCCTTACAGCTCCTCCCTGCTGTATTTTGAAAGTGTGGTCTGAAAGGAAATACCAATAAAAGAGACTTGCTCTCCGGTCTTCATTCTGTTAACTCTTAGATTACACACTATTAGCTGCGGTTCTCAGTTTTGAGAGGTGATATAATGTGTAGCTGAGAGCATAGCCTCTGGAGCCATGTTGCCTGGGTCCAAGCCGCTCCTGAACTTACTAGTAGTGTGCCCTTGGGAAGTCACTTCACCTTCCTGTGCCCCTGCTTTTGCGCTATAAAATGGAGATAATTACAGTACTTGGTCGATAAGGTTGTGAAGATTAAATGAGCATTTAACAATTAGTTAACGTGTAAAGCAGTTAGCTGTTATCTGGTCTACAAATGGGATTATAAAAGGAAAGGAGAGTGGGTGATGATAGTGACAAGTGGCAGTTTGTGGGGGAGGACACAGGAAATGTGAAAAGCAGACGCATGAAGTCCAGGAGTACGGCTCTGGGGCCTTACAGGGAAGGTTAAAGAGCCTTGCACATGGTATCACTGTTACGGGTGTCCAGAGGCTAAGCCTGGGGCATCATGGGAAGGAGGGAGGACGTGACTAACTTGCTGAGCACTTGGGATGTCCCCAGTACTGTGCTCAGAGCATTACATACATTACCTCATGTAACCCCACAGTAACCCTTCGAGTGAGTGATCTTGACCCCATTTTGAAGCAACAGGCTCAAAGAGGTTGCCTTTGCAACCTTGCCGAAGCTCCATAGCTAATTAAGAGCAGAACAGAATTTGGGGCCAGACATCTGACGCTAAGGCTCCTGCTGTTGCTGTCAGTGCAGCACCACCTTCGAGAAAAGCATGACCTTTTACCAAAGCATTTCAAATAATCACAGTAATAATATTTTTAAAATGTTGCTGCATACTAAATGGGTAAAGCCCCATTTCCATAGAGAATTCAGCTCTCCAAAAGGACTCTCCCCAGTGTGTCAGGGGTCAGGTTTTAAGCAAAGCCTTTTATTTTTAAGCGCATGCATTGTTTTAAGAAGGATCCTGTAACTTCTCCCTCTTGGACCTCTACGAAGTCCATTCCTTGTTCCTTCATCCGTTATCCTGTGGGCATTTATTCCCTCAGACCTTTGTTGTCACTCACCTGGATTATAAAACCACATCCTAATTGACCTCCCTTTCTCCAGTCCCTCTCTTAAAGACCATTCTCCACGCAGCTGCCAGAAGGAGTTTTCTAAAACACCTGCGTCACTATGCCACACCCACACCTTCATACCCTTAGAGGCTTATTATTACCATTGCCCTCCAAATAAAATCCAAACTTGCCTTGCATTTAAAACTCTGGTCATCTGGCCCCTACCTCCATTCCCATCTACCTC